GCACAGCCCTAAAAATAAGAAATAATTGAGCCTTTCCTGGGATTTTGGAATGGGATGGGGGTGTGTTCTGCCTCTGCCTTGCTGTGCAGGAGCAGAGCTCAGACATGGAAGGGACTTTCTGTGAATTCTGTCTGTCTTTCAGGTTTATGGAGAGTATCCCAGGGCAGGGAGGTGTGGACACAGCCAGCACAGTGTTGGGGAGAAAATACGATGTTGTTTTTCCTGGGGTTATTAACAGTTTAAGCTCTGCAGAAAGCAGTGGCAGTGCTAAAGTCAGAGCTGGAACCTTCACTCCTGACAATGCCCATGTGGGAAGTGTTAAGGGTGATTTCCTGACCGACAGGATCATTATTTGCCTTGCTCAGTCCCAGGTGGGTTTGTGCCCACCCTGGTTCTGTAAGATGGGAGCAGAGGAGCTGTGGTCCTGCTCCTTCAGCCAGTCTTTTCTGCCTGTTGGGCTCATGCAGCTCAGCTGCAGCTCTGCCCAGCTTAGCTGGGGATTAGCTCGGTGTGGCTGTGTGCAGGCGTTGGCCTGGGTACAGATGTTTCATCACTGCACCTGCAGCCTGTGGCCAGGGAGGTGCTCAGTCCTGGCTGCCCCTGCTCTGCCTGCAGCAGGTTGGGGTGTGCAGGAGCAGGTTGTGTTTGCCCCTGGGTTGTAAATCCCAGGTGGACAAAAATTGAGGATGTGTCCTCTGGATTTTGGTGCTGGGAGCCGGTGGGGGAAGGCGCACTCCCCTCCCAGCATGCACTAATCTGTCCTTTGAGAAGAGGATTCGTTGGGGATTACACGGGCACAGGGTGGGAGTGAGATGAGACTCGATGTGGGAGAGTGGGGAAACACTCAGCCACAGAGCCAGGGCAGGGCTGCACCCAGGAGAAGAGGCTGATCTCGTGGCCTGACGTCGAGGACCTGCTGCTCTGGTATGGCTCTTGGGGTGACAGTGGTGGATGCTTCACAGGCTGTGGGGTCACAGCGAGGTGGCTCAGCCCAGCTTGAGCAGCCCCATGGCCACAGTTGGTGCTTGGCTCTTCCTGGGCCTCCAGATGGGGAGCTCAGAGCTCACTGCTGGGCTATCACCTGCTGCTGCTTCGTTGGGATGCTGTGGCTGGGAAGGGAGATGCCCCATAGTGAGCTGAGTGTGAGCTCTGGATGTCCTCAGGAGCATTCCCAACCTTACTCACCTGTTACATGTGTTATTCAGGGTGGGTATGTGCTGCTCTCCATGAACCTTAGATCCTCAGGGTACCACTGAGCATCTCAGACCTTCCCTGCTGCCGAACGAGGTGGAGTTTTGTTTAATTGCAACACATGTGTTTTTTTCCCTGACTCCCTGAGCGTAGTGGAGGTGGAGATGACACAGAAGGCATGTGCTGTGATCTGAGGGTGTCAGGCTGAAGCTCAGCCTCAGCTCTGCCCTGCGAGTTGTGAGTTTGCAGGTTGCCTGGGAAATGGGTTGGCGGAACGGGCAGCGATCCAGGCAGGAACGCGTGGACCGTCGGCTCTGCTGTGTGCAGGCACTTGGGTGTGTTGGAGCAGCACAGGCTCTGAATGCTGCCAAGGCTGGTGGAGCACCACAGGAGGCTGTGAGACAGCAGCTCCAGCCTCAAGCAGGGTATTGGGGCTCTTGGGGATGGAAGGGAAGCATCCCCGTGCCTGGCTGCGTGGGAACTCGCGTTGTGCAGGCTGGAGCTGAAGAGCAGGCAAACACCTATGTGTCTGGTTTTAGGACAGTCATAGCTCAGAGTAAGGCAGAGATATTGCTCTAATGAGCTGTCATCGTGGCAGCAGCGTGTTTCCTCCTCCCCCACGCCAGCCTGTAGCAACGTGATCTGAGCAAGCAGTGAAAAAATAGAAATGCCTTCAGCCTTGACGTAAGGAGTGATTGTGTGAGTGCCTTAAGGTAGCAGGGACCTTCAGGGCAGCGTCAGCAGGGGTTGGTTTGGCTCCTGTGTGGCACTGGGGATTGAAAATTAAGGAAGCTAGGAACAAATAATCTTGGGTGGTTAACTGCTGAGAAAGTGCAGAGAGCAGAAAGAGCTTGGAAAAGAGTCTGGAGCAGCCTGGGAGGACAGCTACCAGCTCTGGGAAGATGTGGCTGCTCCACCGGACCCTGTGTACCAGGAGTCTAGTGCCTGGGAAGAAATGTGAAGTAATATTTATCCTTGGATATGTCAGTCAAAAGCTCCAGGTACCCACAGCTCTAGGAGGAGGCTCAGTGTGATTATCTCCATTTTACAGCTGGGGACACAGCTCTGAACCTTCCCCGTGGCCACAGTGGAAATAACCCCCAGTCTAGTGCTTTGTTCATCATTTATACATCTCTTCCTCTATTATGCTGTTGTAGTGTTATTAAATCTTAATTAAGAGAAGCTTCAAACTTGCCAATCAGTGAAATGAAAGGGTTTGTGAGCCCCCAGTTTTCCTTCACAGCTGTGATGCTCTTCGTTAGGATTTTTCTCCTTCATTTCCTTTAGATAGCAGAAGTAATTGGGGTGACTTCGGTGCCTTTCCTGTTGGTTTCTTGGTGTAGTTCTGTATTTAAGCCTAAGCTCAATCAGTGGGATGCAGGTACCTGTGATAAATGGCAGGCTAGATTAAAAATTACCTAATGGTTTCTCCTGGCTTTAATCTCTCTGAACTAAATGTGTCTGAAGTTAATGGGATGGTTTGCCAAATAAAACCCTATGTGTCTCTTTTTTTTCTTCCCCTCCCCTTAAGAGTCCCTTTACATTTTTATAGCAATTAGGTTTTGTAAAACCATTTTACCAAGACTGAATGTAATTGCAGGGCACTGTGCCCTTTCCAAGTCTTGTGTGCACAAAGAGTATTTAACCCCTTCTGGGGAGAATGGATGGGTTCCTACCATTTCAAAACCATCCCATAGATGTGAGGTTTCCTTTCAGGCTGGGGAGGGCAGGGGATTGCTCTAGGTTAAACGTCCTAACACACAGGATATCTATTTATTCTTTATGTTGCATTATCCCAGTCTGTACCAGTAGCAGTAGCACCTGCCTGGCCATTTCCAAACATTCACTGATAATGGTGTGGTATAGAGATGCTGGGAGTGTTCCAGGCCAGGTTGGATGGAGCCTGGAGCAGCCTGGGCTAGTGGAACGTGTCCCTGAGCATGGCAGGGAGTGGGACTGGATGAGCTTTAAGGTCCTTCCAACCCAAACCATTCTGTGATTCTATGCTCAGGTCTTGTTTCAAACCATCTCCAGTCACTGGAGGTGCACTGACCCTGTCTCTATTGGTGGTGTGTACATGGTCACCCTTCAAGTTGTTTCTGAGATCTGGAAAAACAGACTTTTCCATTTTTTTGTTTCCTCCTTGTGCGTGTCGTGCTCAAAGCAGAATGAGCATTAATTGAGTGGCTTAAAGGATGCTCTGAAAAAAAATCCTGTGAGCTCCATAATTCAGAGAGATGCTCTACAGAAGTCTCTTGCAAACTTGCCCACAGTTGATGTTTCTTTGAAGAGCCTGTGATGACTCTTTATCTGTAGATGGTTGAAGCACATTCAGCTCTGCCTGGATGTCAGCGGCGTTGGCACTTCGTTTTCAAAGAGAATTTGTTAACACAAGCGTAGCCTGAGAGATGAAAGGATCCGTGTGGAGCCTCGTTTGAAGCAGTGAGACACAAGGCAGGAAAAGAAGGATCTTGAGAGGTATTTGATTTCTCTGGTCAGTTGTGGCAGAGAAGCCTTTTTCTGAGTGAAAAAGACCTTTCTGGAGACTGACTGGGAAAACACGATGGGCAGCTCCAGCACCACAGACACTGCTGTCCAGAGCACCTCTTGTTTCTTCTGCTCCTTCAGCCTGTGGTGTGTAGATCCCGTCTGCCTCCATCAAAGAGCTGCACTGAACAGGGAATGGTTTCACCAAATAGTGAAAAGTGACAGCTGAACATGGCAATGGAGATATTAAACACAGCGTGTCCCTCTGGGCTGTAGATGAGCTTGTCTGTCCTTTCCTGTCCATGTCAGGTCCTTCTTCCCTCCAGTCAGCTCTCCTGGCATGAGTCCTCTTTTAGGAGATTCATCCCAGTCCCTTGTGCTTGGATTTCTCATCTTTTTACATCATGGGCTTGGTTTGAGCAAATGAAAACCATACTCCTGGCCATGACCCAGTGAACTAAGAAGAAAAAGTGCCAGACATGAGCTGTGGGACTTTACAAGCAATACAGGATGGGATGGATCCCTGAGTGGAGAGCTTGAGCTTGGGTAGTGGGATGGAGAGACAGAGACAGTTCTGAAGCTGTCACCTTGGTGCCAGGTTATCAAGAATGTGACTGAGGACACTTTGCCCATTTTCCCCTCCTGTATCTTTTCAGGAACAAGATTCCATCCCTGGAATGATTAGAACCTTCCAGCAGCCCTTCATCCTGCTTTTAATTTTCTATATGCTGCTCTTGCAGGTTTTTTTTTTCCTCCCCAACTGCTTTTTCAAGTGTGTACTCTGATGGTTAAAAAGAATATATTTTCTACAGTTATCAGCACATAATCAACAAGATTGCATGTATAGCAAAGTGAAACCAGCCCCAGGAGGGCACAGAGAGGTACAATTCAGTCCCTGGGGCACCTTTGTTCGGGCAGAGATATTGTCTAGCTCAGCCTGAGCAGAGCTCTCCAGGGAGGCTGATGCTGCTCGGATGTATCGATCTCTGGCTGAACTCAGCACGTCCTTCTTGCTTGGTGCTGTGAGAGCAATAATAATCCTTCTTGTGTTCCTGCAATGCCTTCACTGAGCTGTTACCCAGAAAGGAGAGCAGTGTCTGAACCAGAGCTGTAGATCTGGGCTGGTTTTGGCTTATGGTCTGTGAAAACAGGAAAGCTTAAACTCATTGCTCAGGGACTTGACTCCCCTCTGCGATGGGCTCAGCTATTGGGAAACACTGAAAATCATTTCCCAAACAGAGCCACCTGCCCCAAAGTAATTACAATGCACGTGCTTGGGGTGCAGAGAGGGGTTTGGTGCATCTCTGTCCCTCTCCAGGGCAGCACTGCTGTGAGCCTGGAGCTGTTCCACAGCTGCTTCCATGTGCAAACACCATTCCTCGTCCTCTGCTTCCAGCCAGGCCTTCCTGCGCTGGGCCTCGCTCCTCCTTTTTATGAAAGGCTGTGAACTGCAGTCCTTGGAATGCAGAGAGGAGCTGGGAGGAGTGGGAAAAGCTGCCTGTGGCAGGAGCAGAGCTTTATTGCACCCGCTGAAATGTCACGGCGGGTGGGCGCTGGCGTCGAGCGATTTGGTGGATGTTGGTCGCCGGAGTCCCTCTCTCCGCAGGAGCCAGACATCATGTGGCTCTCTCCAGGCACTGGGAGCTGTCCCTGTCGCTAATGTGACACATCAGAGATGAGATGCTGCTTCTCATTAGCATCAGGGGGTAGAGGGTATCCCCTCCGGAGGATGCGGTGGCTGCCGCGTCGTCAATGCCAGCAGCAGCGCTTGGCCTTGCCTTGGCTTTGGGTCATCTAGGCTGCTAAAAGATGGGGATGTTTGGGTTCATTGTTGGAATGGCTAATGAGGAATTGTCAGGCATGTGTCCTTTGTCTGTGCAGCAGCATGGCAGCCTGGTACCACAACAGGATTTGTGTGTGTTGTGCCAGCACTGTTCACCTTGCCCTGTATCACCTGGGCTGATGGACGAGCATGGAGTATGTCCTCAAGCTCAGTAACTCAAAAGCTGAACACAGAGTGTGTCCTCAAGCTCAATAACTCAAAGGCTGAACACAGTGTGTGTCCTCAAGCTCAATAACTCAAAGGCTGAAGTGCTCAGCTCCTCGTGGCTATCGATACTTCCTTTTTCTTAATTAGCACTACTCCCCTCATGCCTGCTTTTAAGCCCAGCTGGTTTGTTAGCCCTGAGGTGTGTTTTTAAGGAAGCAGCAGGATAAGCTGCTCCACGAGGAGAGGAGGCTGATGGCTCTTTTCTTCCTTCCTTTCTCTCCCCTAGAAATTGGCAGCGGAATGCCAGAGCGCCGGCTACCCTGGGACACTCATCCCCTACAAGTGTGATCTCTCCAACGAAGAGGAGATCCTGTCCATGTTCTCTGCCATCAAGACGCTTCACCAAGGTGTTGATGTGTGCATCAACAATGCAGGGCTGGCTCGCCCTGAGCCCCTGCTCTCAGGGAAGACCGAGGGCTGGCGGACGATGATAGACGTGAGTAGTGCCACTGAGGGAGGGGAAACTCTGCTGGACTTGTGTTTCTTCTGGCCACCAGCACCATTGTCCCCATCTACTCATTTCAGAACTCAGGACCTGCTTCCCAGCTGGCTCTGCCGTGGTCTGAGCTTGCTGCTTTGGAAGCAGAAAGACATCCTGCTCTGCTGAGCTTCACCTTAGAGAATGGGAACACTCAGTACCTTCAGCAGCATTTTTCCTTCAGCTCACTGGCTTTCTAAAGGGTGACAAGCCTCACTTTTTTTTCCCTTCAATAAACCAGGAAATCGAATGCCAAGTGCTTGCTTTTGTTGCTAATCCTGTTAGTTGTAGCAGTGGGTAGTAAAACAGGCAGATTCTTCGTGGCTTAAAAAGCTGTAATGCTTTTTGTCTTTATAGCTGAATTTTCTGCCCATAATGTGGTTAGAGCTGGATGTGAGCGAGGTGATTTCATGTGCTGAACTGGAAGTTGTGCAAATGGTCCATCCCATTTACAAGCAGTACTTCTGCCTGGATCTCCCTGGCCTGAGGTGCTGCTGTGCATCTCTTTGGGACGTCCCCATTTTTTGTCATGATGTGAACCTCCTTTTCAGCATGGAGCAGTGTCAGCCACAACTGTGGGACCTCAGGCTGGTTTGTGTGTCCTTGCAATGGTCCTTCCTGCAGCTCTGACTGGTGAGGTGCTGAACCAGGAGCTTCTCAGCTGGTTTCCCCTCCTGTACCACTTACTTTTGTGCATGAAAGCTTTATCCTCATAGGAGCAGGAGTGGAACTCATGGCTCTGAGCAATCCTTGTAGCACCTCCAGCAGCTATGAAAGCTTGTCCTAGTGAAGGGAAGGACATGTCTGTTTGAAAAGCTGCTCCAAGCTGTGGGCTCAGAGCCACCACGTCTGAGAGCTCCCGCGGCACCGGGGGCTGTTCATCCAGCAGTAGTCTCAGGGGCTGTGTAGAGCAAAACAGAGAGACACATTGAGGCCTCAGACTCCTGCTGCCAGGGCAAGATCTGCCATATCCTGGCTAATTAAGTTCTTGTTAGGATTTTGGCTGGGCTGTTGGCTGCTGTGACTGCAGCCAAAGCAAGCTCAGCTCAGCTTTGTCCTCCCAGCCAGGCTTTTGTGGGCTGCCCAGCCTGGGTCACTGCACAGCCGCATCTCCCCGGCCCTGGTTGCCATGGAATCTTTAAAGAAAATTAAGTGAAGTGTAGCTGAGGC